GATAATCACCCAATCTTAATCTACTTAATCTCAGTACTGAGGTATCTTGAGAAAAAGATTGACTGTTATCAGTTTGTGTGTGAACAACGTATCTATTATTTAATGTATACATTTTAAAAATTAAGTATTGTATATCATATTGAACCTATATTTCTACAAATTGTTTTATGTTTCTCTCCACAGCATGTTAATACATAAAATACATTTCTTGTTAGTGTATATAGATCAACTCATTGCAAATTAAATAGCTTTTATTGTTTAGCTAAATCACTGGTTATGTAACGTATTAATATAATGTACTTTCCACTATTAAAAACAACACTGCAGGGCTGGCCGAGTGGCGCATTGGTTAAAAGCTGGCTTGGGATGCCAGAGGGGCCTAGTTCGGATCCCACGTATGAGGGCCAGTGACACTGCCCTCTACAGCTAAGATGCTGAACAACAGCTCAACTTGGAGCTGGGCTGCCATGAGTCACCGGTGATGGCGTAGGCTGCAGTGGGTTGCCATGGGCTACCGTGTGTAGCCAGCAGCCAGCGTGAGTGGCCAGCAGCCGCAGTGAGCGGCCATCCAGAAGCCAGCGACTGATCTGCCTCGCCCGGGAAGAGCGCAATGATGGTGCCAACTTGGGCCAGTGAAGCAACGTCCTCCACAACTAGACTGAAGAACAAAACGACAGCAACTTCTCTGTTCCCCTTTCCCAATTCCCCAGCGCTGTTCCCATCCCCTAATTCCCCAATTAAAACAACAACAACAACAACACTGCAGTGAACATCACTGCTTCATACATGGCTCCTTGAGCATACATGTAACTATGTTAGAAAGACACGGAGAAGTGGAGCTTTTGAATTATACATTTATATAATTTGGTTCTCTGCCTCTGCCCTATACTGACAGTTGGTTAGAAATGAGACATCTCATTCATATCTGTACTCCCAGAATCTTGCAGTGCCTAGGGCTGTATATGTGCATAAAACACATTTGTTGGATAAATGGATATAGTGTGGTTATTACTGTAAAAAAGGAATACTTGTATTGAGGCACAGCGACAGGTTGTCTATAAGGAAATCCTGATATTAGTTTATTCTTGACTTCTAAGGGCTGAAAAATCAGATTTAAATGTTTAAGACAAAATACTAATAACTACCATTTGTTGAGCATTTGTTAAGTACCAGACTCTATACTAGGTACTTTACATACACTATCTCAAATTTAATGAAATATGTATTCCTTAGAGCAAGTGTATTGGATAAGCATTAGTACCTTCAATTTGCAGATGAAGAGACTGAAGCCCATAGAGACACATACTTTATCTGAAATTGCGTGGTTAGTAAATGGCAATGTTAGGGTTCAATTTACTCTTAGAGGACTTTTCTTTTAGGAATTGGGGATACCAAGTGCAGAGAAAGACCCTGGGGGAAGATGGTACAGAGCTTTCAAAAGTGCAGAAGTTTCCCAACAAATTTTTAACAAATGCAGGTCATTTTTTTTGTAGCTGGAATGAGTCACTCTGTGTGCCCTGTGAATGCCCAAATGCACATACCTTGAATGAATGGGGTGGAAGAAGGTGGAGTCAAGTGTTCTTCCAAAAGAGACCAGGAATCTGGGTGCAGAGAAGACACCCAAGTCTATCGCCTGATTTCTAGACCCACCTTTGTTACTAACCTGGTTCATGACCTTATTCAAACCTGAGGACTGCATATTTTCGAATGGGCTAGTGCTACTCAGTCTCCAAGGGGAATTGTAACCTTTAATTATGTCATCATCCCTGAATGTGAGAGCCAGAAGGAACCTAAGAGATAATCCAACCTGATCGTTGAGAGATGATGTGAGAGACAGCTTAGATCACACATCATGGCCACAATCAGAGGCAGACTAAGGTTTAGAACACAGGTTTCCTTACTCCTCAGCTTTTTTCACCCTACTCCATCTCAGAGTTTTGTAAAGAGTTTGCAGCTGTAAGAGAGAGGGTTATTGAATTGCCCAGATGCCAGTCTTCAGACTATTCAGAAACTCAGCTGATGCCTGTTTTTACTTCAGTCTTTATTCAGAAGAGATTCATGTCACAAATCACTTTGTTTCAACCTGTTTCACAATTGATTTTGACCCTGTATCGTTTCCCTCCTGGAGCACTGAGTTTCTAGAGGCCATGGACTATGCTTCCCTTACCTTCTGTCCCCATCCCTACCCCGAATGAAACCCGGTACTAACCCCTGGAGACCAGCTTTCAGATCTGCTCAAGTTTATCCTGAATATGGGCAGTCTGAATTCTTGTTTTTTGGAAGTTCACCATCCTCCTCTCCATAGACCCTGATTTATGGCTCTGGACTCCATTTGTTGGAGGTATTGGTTTTAATTCAGCAAAAGCTAGCTGTCTCCCGAGGGAAGGTGAGAAGGAGGGACATCTGGGGATCGTTAACAACAGGGTCTGTGGCTTGCAGCTTAGCACCCCGGGGCCTAATGTCAGGGTCTTCAGTGTCTGGTCGAAGAAGGCAGTTTCTAGCCCCCTTAGGGGCTCACAGGCCGGTCTCCTTTGGGGGTCGGGATTACTGGGAATACTAATTAATTCATTAGTGGGGTTGATGGATTATCAAGCTGTCTCCTGGCAGAGGGGCCTGGGGTGGGGGGCACAGATTGCTGCCCATAAATCTGCCTGTTGCCTCCCTTCTCTTTGCTTCGATGGCTCCCGGGGCCGGCAACTGAGCACTGGTTACATTTTCCCCGCCCAGCAGATGGTTCTAACAGGTTAGCTCAGAGCTTTACAAAAAGCTGCAGAGAAAGAAGGAAGGGCTGGGGATTGGCCCTCTGGCGCAGGAACCATGTCGGGGGAAGAGAATGAATGCAAATGACCTGCATTCAGTCCCCGCCCCCTTTCCTTTGCTGACTGCACCTTCCTGCTCTGAGTTGAAGGGCCAGCTGTATAACCATGAGGAGTTGTGATGAGGGTGACTGATGAAATAGATTCCTTCCTTCTCTCTGCAAAAGGCCGTTCTTAAAGAAAATGCAGTGTCCTCCTCAACTCCCTCCTAAGGCTGCATGCGCAGGCACACACACACATACACACAGTTGGATGTGTTTTGAGAGTTAATCCTATTGTGTACAGTCTCTTAACATCTGTCAGAGAAAGCAAGGAGCCCCACAGAATGTTCTGTCCCCACCCTCATTTTTGTCCCAGTATGTTCACCTTTCTGCTAATCCACTACTCCTCCCTACCCTTTGAACATTTCGCAGGCAGGCTACCAACAACTCCAGTATCATCAACTCTCAAATATCCATGGAGATGGCTTTGAAGACACAGAGCAGGGCATCAATCCATTCTGTACGTGCCCATTGCAGGTCTGTCCTCAACACCAATTACTCCACAGATTAATTTTCTTTGGCTGAAGAGTGGATTCTAATTTGGTCTTCAGAAATCCATCATTCCTAGCATGTGTCACTTAATTACTCTGAAAATGAAGTTTATTTTGCTGAGCAGATATTTCCTGGATAGGGATGCAAAAAAGATTTGTAAGAGTTAAGAGATTTGCTGAAGTTGAACACCTTCCTATGAAAACTGAAAAAAAAACCTGTTAATTTTTTTCTGTGAAGGACAAGAGTCATATGACACCTATATCAGAATTAAAAAAAAATTAACTGTTTCAAATCTAAGGTATTTCTTTTAGCTTTATTAACAGTAAAACTATTTGTTTTGTTTTAACCTTCTGTATCTTTTCTTGCACACAGGGCATATTTATAACTCTTCATCTCTATTAGACACATGTGCCAGTTACATTGGTAGAACAAGTGATTTCTAAAAAGGCTGGGCAATTTCCTCAAGACAATTTCAAACAGAGGTTGAGTTTGGACTCAGGATTTTATCTTACTACTGATAGAAAAAAACTTAAGTGATCAGACCATTGTACAGATGTGAAAATTGATGCTGGATGTGAAGTTGAATTACTGGAGACCATTTAGCCAACTGCTTAATCCAAGCATGCTTTCCTTTCTTCCTTGGAATCTCTAGAAGATAACAAAATCCTTTACATCTAAAAATGAACTCTCAATTATTTATTCGATTTTGGTCAAGTTTTGCATAAGGTAGTGCTTGGCAATCTGTAAAATGAAGATTCGACATTTTGACTTGGTAGCTTGGTCTACAGTTCTCTCTCATAAAGCATATCAATGAATTTACTTTAAGTCTTTCCAGATGCACTTTTGTTTTTTTCTTCTAGCACTTACTTCATAATACCACAGGCATTTTAGGAATTATGGGACCCTTCTTTCATTTCAAGTTCATTGCTACTCAGGTGGACTTTTTATACCTGAATACTTAACGAAAAAGTTTTGAAAAACAATAGTGGACCTCAGTTTGTAATTCAAGGAGCTACGTGTCCTTAAAATGAAAGATTTCATTCATTTGCTTTTTGTTTTTATAAATTTCCAACAAATAGAAAAGTTGAAAGAACAGTATAACAAATATAGATACAGCTTTGTCTATATTCACTAGTTAAAATAAAAGGGTTTTAAATGGGAATAGTTTGATATGTTGAAAAGAAGGGAGAGGAAGTTATATGCAAAGACACCAATCCACATATGTAATGTAACAATCAATGTTGTTGTGTCCTGGGCATGTATCTTTCTCAGTTTTTGACTCTTCAGATGTGGGCCAGCATTTTTATTTGCCCTTCTTAGCTCTCTCTCCCCAAGTCTATTTCCAATTTTCTTTCCCCATTCTGCCCACATCGTTCCACTCCCATTTCTTATCTTTTTAACCACAAAAATTTTCAGTGCTCTTTTTCTTTACCTATAACTTCAGCAACTCTCCTCCCATATTCCCCTTGTACAAACCTCTAACCCCACTTAAACAAACAAACAAACGAATGAATGACTAAGCTGGACCTGGTCAGAGGCACCCTTTGAAGTAGGTGTGTCTTTCGGCTTGGGAAGGGGAGGAGTTAGATTGCGGCCAGCATCACCCCTCCCTGGTCAGCTGGGAAAGCAATCAAAACTGCTGCAACTCGGAGGCTGGGGCCAGAGCGCAGGAGCTGCCCAGGGGCTGTGGTCCTGAAAGTGCCACTCCGGGAGCTAACCAGGGAGAAGAGGTACTGAACACCCGGCTAAAGCAGCTGCAACAAGGGCATCTGCCCGAAGGCATCCTGGGGGAGCGGGCAGAACTCCAAGGAAGGAGTAGAAGAAGTAGCAACCAAAGAAACCAGACCCCGTGGTGTTCCTAAGAGGCAGTGGCCGGGCTTAACATGGATCGCTAACAGCACCACATTCTCCTATGACCTGGATGGTCAGAGAGACTTCACAGAGTTCACGCCAGGGACTGCCACTGACAGAGGTGAGCCAGCGGATGGGGTGGTACTGGAACGACTGAAGTTTCTGTGGGAAGTTTTCACAGACCTAGAGGAGCAGTTGGGGTGATGCAAGTCTCTTCTAGGCTAAGTGAGGAGGGAGTAGAATTTAGAAAACTTGAGCAGAGAAGCAGAGAGAGTCAGAACACTTCGGGGATAGATATTAAAATTTTAATAATTTCACTAATTCCCATAACATCTGTCACCCAAAGTGAAACTCAGATATTCAGATTATAAGTGCACACCCACTCCTGTCAAACCCAGCCTTCCATTTTATTAACGAAGAAAAAAATGTCCAAAATGTTTAACTGCTTTTTCAAGGTGGCTCTGCAAGTAGGTTGGAAGAAATTGACCCAATTCACCACTCTACTCATAGAATTTTAGGGCTATGCAAGGAGTGGAGGGGGAGTAAGGGGAATGAAAATATAATAGGGAATGAGAGAAGATATTGGAAAGCCATGAGGATATTCTCACCATTGCTTCCATTTGGTCTGCTAAAAATCCTTAGATAGTTGGAATGGAGTGGGGAAAATTTTCTTTTCCTCAGCTCTTTCAGATGGGGAATCAGAAGAGAAGATTGTACACATATATTTTTGCCTCGTCTTTCTCTCACACATCATTCCTCCAACCAAAAAATACATTCAGAAAAATTCTAATAAATGTAAATTGACTCCCTCATTTTTGGACACAAGGACCAGAAGTGAAATGTTGAAGAACAAGGAAGGAAAACTGAAGTATTGAGTAACTTCTGTTTGCAAAGTTCACCATGAGGATCTAAGACTATGGAAATTGATGTATGACGTGGCTATGCTGGATGAGGCGTGCATGTGGGTGTGCGTGTGTGTGCACGTATTAATCAAGAGGGAAAGTGGTAGAGTATAAAAGTTTCGATGGGAAGAGCACAGAACAGCCTACTGGCTGTTTCCAGGCAATGCAACTTGTGAGCATCCTGGTTTGCATTTTGTCTTTTCAGTGCAAAGACTCTGCAACTCAGAGCAAGGCATTGAGTCCGTCTGGTCCTTAGATTCCCTAGAAACTGGGCTGACTAGTTCCCTTCATGTTGTATTTAGGATTTAGTCATAGGATCAGGAGGTGAAGAGTACAATCAACTTTCAAGAGGAAAGACACTGTGTAATCACCACAAATACACATGCAAGTGCTCCTTACCCATTTATTCATTAGCTGAAATGTCTCAACAACAAATGAAAGATCAGCAAATGTGTAGGACAAATTCCAGGTCAGTTGCATGTGGTGGTAATGCCCAGTGACTTCAGCTGCAACAATGAAAGTATTGGGTAGTTACAATTGCCCAAGTGAACGTTTTGCTAGAACAGGTTGAAAAATGAAAAAATAAAAAAAAGTGGGAGAAAATTTTGAATTTGAGAGAATTGGCTAAACTTAATTTCATGGAAATGTCCTAAAGAAAGGGGAAAATTCTGTTATATCATGTAAATGCATAAGGAAATCCAAATTCCAAGTTCAAAGGATAAAATGGGCTTTATAGGATTGGAATGTGTTTGAGAGGTCAGGGGGCAGTATTCTGCCTCCAGAGCCAGTATTCATTGGTTTTTGTCATACTGAAATTTGCTTCATGTACATTTTTCAAAAGCTGATTTATTTTCTAGGAGTTGGGGAAACCTAAAAATGGTGTATCACAATACTTTGTGAAATAGTGCTATAGACTTTCTCACACCACTTCCAATAAACAATTGCCAGCCCTTACATTTGCCCAATAGCTTTACAAAGTACTTGTGCTTGCATTATCTCCTCGCTCTTCGTAAAAGCTTCTAAACGAGATATGACAGACAGAAATGTTATTTCCATTTTGCTCTAAAGGTATCAGAATTAAAGTAATTTTTCTGTTTTCATTTAGTAAGTGAGAGATAGAAGAGGGCCTCAGTTTCTTGCTTCTTTTAATATACCTCTGAGCTGGTTCACTCACAGGCTAAAAATCATGGCAGAATTAGGTACCTGCTCTGGAAAGAACCAACTTGGTTTCCTTGATTAAAACTCAGAGCTGCTCAACACACATTTTCAGCTCTTAAATATAAAACTGGATATTTGTCTTTCCCCTCCCCAGTAATCTTTGGATACATTGAAGATATTTAGGTGGAAAAAGTCAAAGAAAAGTTTTTCTTCTTTTTTTTTATCTCTGAGGAGTCCTGGCTCTTCTATTTGAGAGACACCTCATTTATCTCCTCAGAGCTCTGCAACTTGATTCTGGTAGGAAAGTCATATCCTCAATATTGTTTAATCAAAGGCAAAAGGGAACATGTCCCGTGCCAATGGTTGACTGTATTCCAGTGGAAACTTCATGAACCTGAATATTCATGAAACTAAGTAGAAGTGTCCAGCCAACTGCTATCTCCCAATTACAAAACAGAATGAAAGAGGCTAACTTCCCTCTTGAATATGGTGGAAAATTTTTAGTCAATCCGATAGAGGCATCTGTCCCCTCACCCCTTGCAACATAATAAAAGCTTTGATATTTAGTTTCATTAGGAGGCTAGGGGAATGGGTTTATTAGGGAAGTTTTTGAAGTGGAGGTTGACATGAAGTGTGCTTTTGTTGGCATAAAATCAATATTGTGCTTAGATTGTAATTAAACCCATTTTTGTCCATGTGGCCAGAAAAACTCATGGTGAACTTTAGAAACAATAATACCTAACACATGATGTCTGGCACTATTCAAAGTCTTTAAATAGGTTAGCTCATTTTATGCTCACAACAATCCTGAGGTAGGACTATCGTTATTCCCATTTTGAATAGGAGGTAGACTGAGGCTCAGAAAGGCTATGAAACTTGGCTAAGGTCACATATCTAATAAGTAATCCAGCTGAAACTTGAACTCAGGTCACCTGACTCTAGAGCCTGTTGTCTAGTCACGTTAGGAAAAAGGGTGGGCTGTTGGGCAGTTGTCAGATGACCTTTTTTTTT